CATCATTCCACTTCAAGATTGTAGGCATAGTTTTTTAAGTTTGGTTTTGTTCCTAGGCCCTAGCTAAGTGAGGTAGGCATCTTCTTTGCTCCTCTAATATTCTCTGTTTATTTTTGTAATAGTGTTTATTGCACACGGTTTTTTTTTTTTTTTTTTTTTTCATTATCCTCATTTCAGTCCTCCTACAAATGTCTTCCATCAACTCTTTAATCCCAAATTATGTGTTTTTCTTTCTTCTTACTACCCCTTTTGTCTTTTAATTCTTTTGCAATCAGTATTTCACTTCCACAGAATTATTTACAAACTGCTCTTGAATTCATTTATTTATAGTTCTTTTTAGCCCTTATTTTATTTGACCTCATTTTAGCACTTGACTCTTGACTCCTCTGTCTTTTGAAACTTCTTCTTTCCTTTGGATTTGTTATGTCAGGTTTACTTGGTTCTCCTCTTACCACTGTCACTGCCTTTTTCTGATTTTCTTGGTGGGAGTTTTTGCCTATTCTCACACTCTAGCAGTGGATGTTTCAGACTTGTGTTTGAAAGATAGACTAAATACACTCATTTTTTTATTTTTTATTTTTTTGCTAAGCATAACTAGACATACTGGACATTATATGTGAAGCAAATAGAAGAAGACAGGCTAGGAACCTTGGGACTTAAGGAACAATATGCTTGTGAGTTTGCTGGGTTGTCTTTCTGCCTTTTTGTCAGATTTGGAGGTGAAGAAGTGAGTAACCCAGAAATGACAGTGGGCACAGAACAAAGAAGTCCCAACAGAAGCCTTCTCTCTTAAACCAAAGGACTACAAAAATGGCAGCAAACAAGACAGAACATGTTGGCAATAACTGCTCTATATTTCTGCTGAATACCACAGAAAGAAATCTGTGGCCCCATCTCCACTCCCCCCACCGCCTGTCCCCACTATCAAAAAGCAAAGTGGGTAGCCTGGATTTCTACCTACACAGGGCAGTAATGAGGCATTCCTCCCCCTCCCCACTGGCATTGTGTCCAAGGTGGCCAATAGAGTCAGGGCTTTCACCACCACCCAGTGATAACAGATGTCCACATCCCCCTTCCATGGTGCTATTGTAGGTTACATGGTGAGCATAATGAGGCAGTCCTTCTCTCCATCAGGGAGTGCCTAGCTTCCCATCCATGCCAGGTGGTAACAAAGAATCTCTCTTGGACTTCTGTTTCCACCTTGCAGTAACGAGGTGGTGCTTTCTCTTCTTCCACTGAAACTGTGCCACAGGAAGCTTACTGAAATAAGAGATTTATATAAGATTTATATAATCTTCTAACACGATATCCCAAATTTTCAAGCTTCAGTATAAAAAATATGTCATACCAAGAAGCGAGAAAATCACAAACTGAGTGAAAAAAGACAATAGATGACAACACTGATATGACAGAGATAGTAGAATTATCTGACAAGAATCTTTTGAAAAGCAGCCATCATAAAAGTGTTACAATAGGCAAATAGGAATGTGCCGAAACAAAGGAAAAAAATAGAAAGTCTCAGCAAATAAATAGAGGAAACTTTATTTCTTCTTTTAAAAAACCAAATGGAAATCTTAGAAGTGAAAAATACAATAACTGAAGTAAAAAGCTTATTGGAGGGCTTCAAAAGCAAAACATGAGGCTGAAAGGAAAGAATTAGTGAACTAGATTATAGAATGATAGAAAGTATACAATCTGGACAACCAGGAAAAAATAGGTTGGGAAAAAAATACATACAGAGTCTCAGGGAATTATGGGTCTATAACCAAAGATCTAACATTCTTGCCATTGGAGTCTTGAGAGGAGAAAGAGGACAGGATAAAAAAGTACATGAAGAAATAATGGCTGAATAGAGTGGGCACGGTGGCTCATGCCTGTAATGCCAGCACTTTGGGAGGCCAAGGCAGCTGGATCACCTGAGGTCAGGAGTTTGAGAACAGCCTGGTCAACATGGTGAAACCCAATCTCTACTAAAAATACAAAATTAGCCAGGCGTGGTGGCATGTGCCTGTAGTCCCAGCAACTCGGAAGGCTGAGGCAGGAGAATCGCTTAGAACGCGGGAGGAGGAGGTTGCAGTGAGCCGAGATTGCGCATTGCACTCCAGCCTGAGTGACAGAGTGAGACTCTGTCTGAAAATAAATAAATAATATATATATATACACACATACATATATATATGTGTATATGTATGTGGCTGAATAGTTCTCAAATTTGGCAAAAGATATAAACTTACATAAACTGAATCACAAACAGGATAAACTCAAAGAAATTCACACACAAACATATCAAAGTCAAATTCCTGAGAACTAGACTGGGTACGGTGGCCCACGCTTATAATCCCAGCACTTTGGGAGGCTGAGGTGGGTGGGTGTCTTGAGGTCAGGAGTTTGAGACTAGCCTGGCCAAGATGGTGAAACCTCGTCTCTACTAAAAATACAAAAATTAGCTGGGTATGGTGGTGCGTATCTGTAGTCCCAGCTACTTGGGAGGCTAAGGCAGGATAATTGCTTGAACCCAGGAGGCGGAGGTTGCAGTGAGCTGAGATTGCACCACTGCCCTCCAGTTTGGGAGACAGAGTGAGACTCTGTCTGAAAAAAAAAAAAAAATCTGAAAACTAAAGATAAATAAAAACATCTTGAAATCAGTGGCCAGATTGCCAATTTCATGAACTAAATGGGAAATATTACCAAGATATCAACAGGGTAATAAGGAAATACTTTGAACAACTTTAAATACACAGCTCAACAACTTAGATGAACTAGATCAGTTCTTTGAAAAACACAAACTACTAAAACACACCCAATATGAAATCGATAATTTGGATGACCCTCTGACTATTAAGAGAATTAAGTTCCTCCTCCCCAGCAAAAGATCTTCAGGTGCAGGTGATTTCACTGGAGAATTTTACCACAAACTTAAAGAAGAATTAATGCCAATTCTCCATAGTCTCTTCCAGAAAATAACAGAGCAGAGAACAATTAATTTTCTTTTAAATGAGGCTTGAATTACCTGATAGCAAAACCAGACCAATACAGTACCAAGATAGAACAAAACAAAATCAAAACCCTCAAACTTACAAACCCATGTTCATCATGAATATAGTTACAAAAATCCTTATATAATGCATTGTATTGACAAACAAAAGAGGAAAAGTCATTTGATCATTTGAATCGATACAGAAATAGCATTTGACAAAATTCAACACTTGTGCATAATGAAAACTCTGAGAAAAGTAGGAATAGAGGGTGAGTTCAGTTGTAAACCTAGAAAGATATATGTAAATTCATAACACCCTGTCTCTGCAGAATGTGGCCCTTTTTGGAAACAGAGTCATTGCAGTGTAATTACTTAAGATGAGGTCATAAGGGAGTAGGGTGAAGTCTTGATCCAACGTGACTTGTGTCCTTAAAAAAAGAAAGCAGAGATACAGAAAGAGTCTCATGTGATGACTGGAAGGATTGGCAGCTTCCATCAGAAGCTAGGAAGAGGCAGTGAAGGATTCTACCCAGAGTGCCAGGCAGCAGCCCTGCTGACACTTTGATATTGAACACCTTGCTTCCAGAACTACAAGAGAATTTATTTGTTGTTTTAAACTCCTCAGTTTGTGGTACTTTGTTGCTGCAGCCCCAGGAAACTAATACAGAGGGGAAATTTCTTAACTTGGTAAAGAGACCTAAAAAAAATCCTGTAGTTAATATTCTATTTAGTGATGAAAGACTAAATGCTTTCCCTCTAAGACAGATTGAGAACAAGGCAAGGATGCCTGCTTTCAGGATGCTTATTTTACACCATGGGGAAGTTCTAGGTAGAACACTGAAGCAAGAAAAGGAAATAAAGGCATGCAGGTCAGAAACGTAGAAATAAAACTGTCCCTATTTGCAAATGACATGGCTGTTTACATAGAGAATCTCAAGAAATCTACCAAAAACTGCTAGAACTTATCACTGAGTTCAGCAAGGTTGCAGGATTCAAGATAAAAATATAAAATTGTATTTCTATGTACTAGCAATGAACTTGTGGAAAATGAAATTAAAAACACAATACTATTCATAATTGCTCAAAAAATAATTGTAATTTTAATGAATTAGCCATAGACTTATGCTGAAAACTACAAAATAATGATGAAAGGAGTTAAAGAAGATCCAAATAAATGGAGACATCTAGTGTTTATGAATAAGAGACTCAATTTGTTTGTCTATTTGGGTTCTTGGCAGAATCCAATTTCTTGTGATTGTGGGATTAGACTCATTTCTTTTCTAGCTGTCAGTTGAGGGCCATTCCCAGGGTTTTCAGTCTACCTACATTTTTTGGCTCTTGTTTGGCCTCCTTCATTTTCAAAACCAGTAAAGGTAAGTTGAGTCCCTTTTATGTTTTTTTTTTTTTTTTTTTTTTTTTTTTGCTCTGTTGCCCAGGCTAGAGTGCAGTAGCACCATCTTGGCTCACTGCAGCCTCCGCCTCCTGGGTTCAAGGGATTCTCCTGCCTCTGCCTCCCAAGTAGCTGGGATTACAGGCACTCACCACCACAACCGGCTATTTTTGTTTTTTAGTAGAGATGGGGTTTTTCCATGTTGCCCAGGCAGGTCTCGAACTCCTGGCCTCAAGTGATCCACCTACCTCAGCCTCCCAAAGTGCTGGGATTACAGGTGTGAGCCAGGGTGCCCATCCCTTTTTATGCTTTGACTCGCTTTCTTTCATCTCATCTGTCTAACAAAGCTGGGAAATTAAGAATTATATGATTAGATTGTAACCACCTGGATAAACTAGGTTAATTTTCCTATTTTAAAATCATCTGATTAGCAACCTTAATTCCATCTGCAACTTGAGTTTCTCCTTTGCTACATGAGCTAATATATTTATAGGTTCTGAGTTTAAGATGTGCAGATCTTTTGTTGGGCAAGGGTAGAATTACTTTCTTTACTACATATGCCTAGTCCTTTTATGCCCTTCCATTGCCCATGGCATTATATATGTGGTTTTTCAAGATCAAGTCCTTTCTTACCTGTTTGGTTTTATCTCTGATACAACTTTCTCTGTTGCTCAGCACAGGCCATTTCTTTTATGTTTAATGTCTTCATGTGTATACCCTCCTGCTTAGAAAGACTCAGGTCAGACAGCAGATGCTTTGAAGTTCCCAAGAGAGGTAGATATTGTACGTTCTGTTCCCAGAGAGCCATGACTATAGCATTTATTACATTATGGAAATAATTTTGTTCGATATTTGTTTTAACCACTAGTCTGTGATGTTTTCAAGGGCAGAGAACATACTTTACTCAGTTTTGTATTTCTCGTATTTAGTGCAGTATCAAGAACACAGTGTTCCCTTTAATAAAGGCTGACTTGGCCAGGTGTAGTGGCTTACACCTGTAATCCCAGAACTTTTGGAAGCTAAGGTGAGAGGATTTACTTGAGGTCAGGAGTTTGGACTAGCCTGGGCAACATAGTGAGATCCTATCTCTACAAAAATTAAAATTAGATGAATGTGGTGACACATGCTTGTAGTCCCAGTTACTAGGAGGGCTGAGGCAGGAGGATCGCTTGACCCCAAGAGGTTGAGGGGGCAGTGAGACATGATTGTGCCACTGTACTCCAGCCTGTGTGACAGAGTGAGACCCTGTCTTTGGTTTTATCATCTTTGATTCAGCATGAATAAATAACAGTTCTGAAATTGCAATTGAAATTTCTAGCTTGAAGGTTGAGACAGGTTCAGTCATGGTGTGGAGATCTGTCATCTCTGTGTTTATTTCTGCATACATAAAGGCCACAAGCCTGGTTATCAGCAGACCTAGATGTTATTTCTAAGTTACTGTAACCTCTTATATATAACAATAGAAGAGACTTAGTTTCATTATAAAAAGATTTATTGAGTGCTCAGTCTATCCCATGCTTGAATAAATATGATATATAAGAAATGGTCCCTATACTCAAGGAGTATGCATCAGGTAAGATTACTCTTATGATCTGAGATTGCTCTTATGATCTGGTATGTTTATTCCAGATCATAAGGGTAATAATTCCAAGATTAATTCCATTATAATTCATGATGCATTTGTCTTTCCCTTTCTACAGCACATCTGGGAAGAAAGGTAGTAACTTTAAACAAAACAAAGGAAGGGTAGGAGGGTCAGTCTTTGGGGAAAAATACTTGAGAGTGCTTTGTTCCTTTTGGCCAGGAGATAAATCTGAGACCTGATTGTTGCCTGTATTGCTCAATGAGGTGACTGCGTGTATTTGCTTCCTAAAGCCAACAACATGTCAGAAACCACTTTATACACTTTCTTCATCCTGTGTTTCTGGAAGTAGTAACTGAATTTCAAAGCCTAAGCTGCTTTTGACCATTTAAAGGCGGGTTAAACATTGTAATTCTGGGAATCTGTTCTCCCTCTCCCACTGTTTTTTTTTGTTTGTTTGTTTTAATTTTTATTAAAATTCATCTCTTCTTTTCTCCTATATTGAGACCCCTACTAGGAGTGCTAAAGGGTAATATACTTAGAAGTTTTCCTTGAGGCAATTAGAGGAGTTTGATATTTCCTGTTACAGAATTTTGAGAGGTAGATTTTGTGTTAAATTAGTATTTAGCACACTACGGTTGCTCTATTAAAGCAGTTTTTTCTGATACAAATGTCATACTGATCTCTATGTCATTTCTATTCATGAAAAAGAAACATGTGCATATTTATCCATGAATGCAGTTTATAGTTAAACCACATAATGCCTGATGGTACTGTGCTGATAGGCACAGAAGAAATAGTGCAGATTTTAGTTCCTGGAGATTGATCATTTATAGATCAGTTGATAATTTTTTTCTAGGTTGCTTCTTACACTGATGATGAGAAATTTTTCATTTTTGTAGAAAGCTATGGATCTCAATAAACCTCTGTCAAGACAGCAGACCTACCTACTCAATATCACTTTTTATCTTGAACATCGTTTCCGGTGGAAATAGGAAGTGATTTCGTACCCCGTCCTTAAAAATAATATTGCTGAAAATAGTAGGGGTGAGAGTGAAACACTTGAGATTATTGCTTTATGAGTGATACTTGTTAATACAACAGTATGTTGAGTTTGCAAATTTTTAAGAAAACAGGGAGACATTTTATGCATATTTAATTTTTAATCTTTTTAATAAGTACTTTTGTTAGCTTTCTTTTAATTCTTATATTGTTTCTTTGGTTGTCAAATGTCTCAGTTTTCTTTCCCTGTACCCTGTCCCACTTTTCTTGTTTTTGACATGTTTTATGAAATATAATGTGTAATCTGGTTTTCAGAAGGCCATTGCCCAACTCTCATTTTATTGTTGAGCATGGAACTTTAATAAGTTTTGTTTTATAGAGAATTAGTTTATATATAAAATGAGTGAGTAGGCATAAATTGTATTTGAATAGTTCATATTCTGTAGTTTAGGAGAGAGTTATATAGTGGGTCTAGAAATAGTTGACTTTAGACCATCTATGAGTCCCAGTATTCTAGTTATACTTATGTTAAGGGTAATACATTTTAAATAGCTATTTTTATTATTAATTATGTAGATCAGAGAACTTACTGATTTACATGGATTTGTGCTTCTTAAATTTTATAATGGGTCATAATATAAGCATATTAAGTGTAACTAAGTCTTTTCGTTATATTCGCATAATTTAAAATTACTTTGCCTGTTTTGGTGTGAGGCAGTTTGATGAACAGTGATTTTATTCTTCACAATGATTAAAGGTGATAGCAGTATGAATAATCTGAAACCATTTATATTGGCTTTAGAATATCTTTGTGGCTGTACTTTTCAATATGGAGATTGTTGAAAATTTACTTCAAACAAAATACTGAAGGCCCTCTGTGAAGTATTAAAGAGGAGTGCCTTATGAACAGTCTCTCTCCATGCATCTCAATGTCAGCCCAAGTAAAACTCTCAGATTACTTCTCACTTCCCTGCTGCATGTGAAATAGGAATAAATTCAGAATAGGATTTTAACAAGGCAAACCGTTAAGTGAGATGCTGTGTTGTTTTCATGAATCATGAAAACAAGATTCAAAATGCCTATAGGTAATCTGTCTGTCGCTAATAGTAAAGAGTAAACCCTTCACTTTTGAAGTAGCATCCTGGTTTGAAAACAGCAACCTCTGTTTAACATTTTTCCTTACCTTAACTATAATAGCAATCTTCAGTCTTACAAGAGAGTATCTTTCCTGTTTAAGTGCATTTTAAAAATTAGTTATTTCATGGCTTTCACTGGCAAGATATGAGTAAAATACTGTCTGACAAGAGATTGCCAATCTATATGGCAAATTTCTTTTTCTTTTTTGTAAAATCAGAAATCCTCAACATTGATAGGTGTCAAGTTGTGTTTACAGAAATGTGCAAATGAAGAAGCTGGATTTTAAATAATATTTGTATTTTTTATATAAATATATTGCATTTGGTTTTTATTCTCTTGTTTTCACTAGAAATGTTATATTGTATCTTAAGGAAAAAATGATATTTTGGTATTTTTTGATGTATGACTTAAGCTTGTTTTTATTCTTTATAATGTTCTGTTTTTCATTCCTTGAAATTTTGTTTGAGATGGAGTTTTGCTCTTGTTGCCCAGGCTGGAGTACAATGGCGTGATCTTGGCTCACTGCAACCTCTGCCTCCTGGGTTCAAGCGATTTTCCTGCCTTAGCCTCTCCAAGTAGCTGGGATTATAGGCATGCACCACCACGCTTGGCTAATTTCGTATTTTTAGTAGAGATAAGGTTTCACCATGTTGGTCAGGCTGGTCTTGAACTCCTGATCTCAGGTGATCTACCTACCTCTGCCTCCCAAAGTGCTGGGATTACAGGCAGGAGCCACTGTGCCTGGCTGAAATTTTGTTTTTAACGTCTTATTGTTCAAACACTACATATATTCATACATAAAATCACATGTATAAGCACATGCATCCAAATGAATATACACACGTGTATCTTTTCTTTCCTTCATTCTTTTGGCAACAGATTATTATCATTGTATTATTTATTGGCCTAGGTTTACTAATCTCCACTGAAAAAAGGTATTCATCTCTACTAAGGTAGTTTTCCTGTAATCCAGGCAAGCTGTTGTTTAGTGACAGTAATGTTCTAGTTATGTAAAGTCCTGTGATTGGGTCAGTGGGTTTATGGGACAGATTTCGTTTGCTGAAGATGGAGATACTCATTTAAAAACCAGCAATGCATTTTTTTTTTTTAATCGACTGAACTTTGAAACTTAGGAAATTCTTAACATTTATAGGAATGTAGTTCAGTGGTTTGGGAAATTCTGCTAAAGCATCTGCTTTTTTTGATTAATTTTTGCCAGTAATCTTTTTCTTTATGTTGATCTACATCTTTCCTCCATAGATCTTTACTCACTTGTACAATTTGTCTTCTTTGGCATAGCCCCAAATAGGCAGTAATTAGTGGTGTGCTGGTAAATGTTTAGAGCCAGCTCTGGGTGCGTGGGCAGGGATGGCTCTGATTGGTTTGCCAGTTTCTTTGGTGTGAATACTTTCACTGTGGCTGATTTCAAGCTACCCATGTGATGTCCCTAAACATGAAGCATGTAAAAGATGTGCACAGTCTGCTCTTACAGACTTGTGCAAGCAGAGTTTAGCACACTATTGGCATATCCCATCTTTGCTTCTTTCGCAACCAAGATTATGAGTCATGAATAATTTTTATGTGTGGTGTTATTCTTATGTTTTAGTTACAATTAGGAATATAGCAAATATAAAATACTTGTAGGTATATAACATTATGAAAACACAAGCTGCATTACTGACAATGTGTGACTATCTTTTTTCTGTTTTTCAGTTGGGTGGAAAACTTTGGACATGAGGGGCTTGGATTATTACTAGACATTTTGGAAAAACTGATTAGTGGAAAAATGTAAGTATTGCTAATAATTATTTTCAAGTAAGCATCATTCATGTGTCCAATTATAATTCCAACACTGCTATTTTTATGTCAATACAGCCAAGAAAAAGTTGTAAAGAAAAATCAACATAAAGTCATACAGTGTCTAAAAGCCCTGATGAATACGCAGGTATGTACGTAGGTAATTAGTATTTGTCTATGACCAGTTTTGTAATATATGATTTTCAGTTGCAGTAAAGTGATGATATATCCTTCTGATGTGTTTTTCAGTCATGATGGAAAAATATTGAATTTTCTTGAATTCTAGTTTCAACTGTCTTGCAATAGGAGAAACTTGATAATGAAGTTTCTACTGATGCTGAACTCCTCATGTGTAGGTTAATTCTCTCTCCCCACCCTTTCCTCCCCATCAACCCTGCCCACCCCAATCCCATCTTCTTTCTTTTTTTCTCTCCCTCCACCACCTTTTCTCCACTTTTTTGTCCTCATCTTCCTCTTTTCTTCCTTCCTTAATTTCCTCTCTCTCTTAACTCTCAAAAGTATGGCATGAGTCAGCTTTAAGATCATGATTATTAAATGTGAGCTGCAATAATACTTATTACCAAAGGTTCAAGTTGGGAAGATTTCTTATATTCTAGGAATTTAAAATCTACAATGAAATTAATGTAAACAGATACAAGCAGGTCTCAGAAATGGAGCAATGATGTAATATTGAGAACAAATGTAATATGGAGGAATTTGTATAAAGAGTTTACATTAGAAGGGAGAAACCTACTTGTGGCTCTCACCTATAATCTTACCACTTTGGGATATCGAGGCAGGAGGGATTGCTTGAGGCTAGGAGTTTGAGACCAGCCTGGGCAACATAGTGAGACGCCGTCTCTACAAAAAATAAAACAAATAGCTGGGCATGGTAGCATGTGCCTGTAGTCCCAGCTACTCAGGAGGCTGAGGTGAAAGGGTGGCTTGAGCCGGGGAGTTTGAGGTTATAGTGAACTGTGATTGAATCCCTGCACTCCAGCCTGGGAGACAGAGTAAATCCCTGTCTCTAAAACAAAACAAAACAAAACAAAGCAAAACAAAACAAAGCAAAACAAAACAAAACAAAAAAACTAGAAGAAAAGAGGAATTCTTAAGCTCTTTATTGAAGTTAGATTTTAGATTTATCTAGCAATGTTTCTTTTTTGCTTTTATACTGTTAACTGCAGAAATTAGCATTATCTTATGCCGTTTCTTTAAGCTCCAGCATCTAAACACATCTACCTCATGATGTGTGAAGTAATGATAGGTGTTTAAGTTGCTGTTAGACAGCATGGGAGGAAATTTTACCTGTGGTGGTATGATTATTTTTGTTTTATATCAAAACCATCTGTATATTTCTGATTAATTTTAATTTATAATATTTTACCTTATTCTCATTTAAAAATAAACTTTTATAGGGCTACACACTTAAGTACTAGTACATAAATTATTAAGATTTATTTTGTATTTCTTTTACTAAATGTATTAGCAAATATTTATATTTTCTAATTATTTTTGTCTTATTAAACAATGTATTTTTAAGCATTTTCTGGAGGTAAGCTTTCTATTTTTAATTAATGAAATGTTTTTTCTTCCTTTCCTACTCTAATCAGAAATTATTTTCAAAGAAAATATATGATGGAGGAATCCCAACTCCTTTTATGCTGAATTCACGGTTCTTTGAAAATCAGATATTAGATATATAAGATAGCTTTTTACGTATCTGTTTTAAGAGTAAATGAATGAAAGAATCAAATTGCTGATAGGGAAAGGTCTTTTCCCACTAAGTACATAGAACTGGTTTAGGAAGCCCTTTCTAGAGTGAGAATATAGCAATTGGAAATTTTGTTAGTGATGGAAAGGCCGAAAGTAGAAAAAATCTAGGAACCTTTTTTAAACCAAAGGGGCATTTGGATCATAATTTGAATTTAGAAGAAAATCATGGTTAAAGTAAGGTGGTAAATAGAAGATAATATTCTTTCTTTGTTTCAGAATGAATCTGAGGAAGATTGAACTTTATTTATTTTCTAATTAATATACTATTATCCTCTTAAGAGATTTTTGTTGCTTATAGTTTATATACGTGGACCTATAAAATATTGCCATTTTATTTGGTGCTTTTATCTGTGTTATTAAGAATAAAAAGTTAAGTTATTGGTACTTAGTATTATAGTGTCTGAACTCTAAACCTAGCAATATGTGAAATTTTTGGTAAAGTTTTTTTTCCCTTCAAGATTGGTTAATGGTTTTCTTAATCTTTATTTGATCACATCTGTAAGTACAAAATTTGTTAAACCTCACTTATACAGTATTTGTTAGCATTCATTGAATGATGAAAATTTAAGTTTTAAGAGGAAAAAAATGTGCCTTATTTGGTACTAGTAATTAATTATACATTTAATGAGCAAATTTGATAACATTACATGAAAGTAAATTTCTTATAACATTAAATTGGACTAAGAGTATTTTTTAAATAGAAGAGAATTTTAATTGCCTAGGGGAAAGAAAATAAAAGATAATACGGATGAAAAGTTAGTATATTCAAATTGAAAGGTGATTAGAACAGAGGCTTCAGTTTGGTCAGTTAACTTTGTGTGTGTTGCTTTGAAGAGTGCACCCAAAGTGAGGGTGCTTTGCTCATGAAGCCAGCAACTTTACCCACATAATTTCTGCTACTGGGGTTAACTCACTGTGGGTGGCTGCTCAGCACCAGTAGTCATGCTGTGTGGGTCCAGATGTTGGGCATCCTACATGAGGATTTAGGGCATTAACTTTCTTCTACCTAAGACATCATCTTCAGTGCCTGAAATTCCATCTGTTAGCTAATAATAGGCCTCATGTGGAATGCAAGTGGAACCTGGCATTGATCCTCAGTTTAGAACAGGCCAGTTATCATATTGTCCGGAGTGTGTCCTTGACATTCAGGAAAGATACATCCTTAGACCTTTCAAAATTTGTCATGCCTCTCTAACCTAAAACAGGCCTCATTAAATATACTTTAATCCTAGCACTGGTAAGTTGACAACTTCTCACACAGAGTCAACAGTTTTTGTTTTGTTTTACTGTGTTTTTTAAATAATTGAGAGTAATTTTATACAAGTAGCAATTCTGTATTTAGGTATACTGAGTAGTAGTAATTGGCCTCATTCCAGTCTTAAAATGAGTGTGACACATTTTTGCATTACCAAAATCAGAGAATGTTACCTGGGATGGACTTTTGGGGTCACAGGATGATGGTTAAAACTGTGAAATCAGAGTAGGCTCCTATTTCACCTTTCATACGTGATGGTTTAGGGACAGAAGGCTTGACAGAGAAGGTAGGTAGTATCACTTGGAGGAAGTCAGCATGAGTCACCTTGGGTGGCTGGAGGAGTCACAGGATTCTGATTCTAGAAGGGCAGGTGTTAGCCAGGTAGATGGGAAAGGAAAAGGGAATACTAGAGGCAAGCTTTACTCAATTCCCAGGTTTATTAAGGACAGAGCCAGCTCTTCTGAACTTGGTAATCATTGACTGACTTTCTGAATTGAATCTAAGTGGTACTTTATAAACCTGACATTTCCCTGGAATGATTATCAAGGCATATTGTAGTTTCTGGTCCTATGCCTGCCTTTTCATTCTTTTTCCAGTTAGGTAATAGCCCAGGCTATCATAAAAGTAAGTATTTCCTGATTGTTTAGCTGTCTTGTTGTAAACTTTTCCCTATTACTAACAAGACAGAGTAATCTCTCCAAAATTCATATTCTGGGGCCCTTGGCCTTTCCTTGCACTTTCTCCGTTGTTCCTGTGTTTCTTAGATAGTGGTTTAAAGTAAATGCAATATTTCAGTCCAATACAAATGGCCATATACAAGATAGGAAAGTTATAAATAGGATTTTATAACAATCAAAGTACTTGGGTCTAAGCTGGTTATAGATACAACTTTGATGCTTACATGTAGTGCTGATCTTGAGTTAGTTCATAGGCCTGTAATTGAGAATAAGGTCCTTTTTTAGTGTTTGGTAGCAACTCTGATTAGTCAATTTCTCATGCTTTAGTAGGATCCTCTGAGATGCATGCTAGGTAAATAGTACTGTTTTATTGTTTCTATTCATTCTCTGTATTTTGACAGTTATCCTTCATAGAAATGTCATTAACATAATTTCTTATCTTCTAATTGGGTTTGACTTCCTGGCAGTAGTAAATAAACTTTATCTTAATCCCAATCGTCCCATTTATAGAATGAGTTTACAACCGCATTGTTTTCCTTATAATAAATACCTTTGTGATTAGAATACCTGTGCCCATTATGGCAGTTTCTACATGGTAATTGCCCAAATCATACTTCAGTTTTTGCTTATTTATGAACTAAATGCTAATATCTAGGCCTATATTTTGTAATATGGTAGCTACATGTGGCTTCTGAGCATTTGAAATGTGGCTAGTCTGAATTGAGATGTGCTACAGTGTAAAATACACACTGGATTTCAACTGTTTAGGAAGAAAAAGAAGTGAAATGTCATCAATAAATGTTTTATATTGGTTATATGTTGAAATGATAATATTTGGGATATATTGGATTAATTTTATTGAAAATAGTTTTGCTTGCTTGAAATTTCTAAATTACTCGTGTGGTTTACTTTACATTTCTCTTGGACAGTGCTGATCTGTGTGTTTGCTTATGGTAATATATCTCTTACCAACCTTCCTTCCCAGGAAAAAGATTTTCATGACCTCAGTGTCTGGTTCCGTATCTGGCTGTTTGTTTCATATGTTTCTGTTGGCTAATCCCATATTTCTTACTGTTTCCCTCTTTCTCCATTTGGCTAATTAACCTGTCTTAATAATTATCAGCTGTATTGTTGTAACATCACCTTGAGTTATCTTTATTTGGTTTAGTTTTGTGGTTCTTGACATAAAGTGAATACCCTTATGAACTTTTGTTTTTTTTTTTTGAGACGGAGTTTTGCTCTTGTTGCCCAGGCTAGAGTGCAATGGCACAATCTCGGCTCACTGCAGTCTCCGCCTCCCAGGTCTAAGCAATTCTCCTGCCTCAGCCTCCTCCCAAGTAGCTGGGATTACAGGCATGCGCCACCATGCCTGGCTAATTTTGTATTTTTAGTAGAGACAGGGTTTCTCCATGTTGCTCAGGCTAGTCTCGAACTCCTGACCTCAGGTGATCCTCCCACTTTTGCCTCCCAAAGTGCTGGGATTATAGGTGTGAACCATGGTGCCTGGCCATGAACTTTTTAGAGTGTTACACAGTCTATATTTTTTAGCTTTGGTAAGTGTAAAAATATATTATCCTATAATAATTTTTTAGTAATTACTTTTCCTTCAGGGCATTATTTTTCTAATTAATTTCTAACATTTGACATCTTATTTTCAAAATATTATAGTATGGCTTGGAAAGAATTATGAGTGAGGAGAGGAGTCTTTCCTTATTGGCCAAAGCCATGGATCCCAGACACCCCAATATGATGACAGATGTGGTTAAACTTCTCTCTGCGGTATGCATTGTAGGGGAGGAAAGCATGTAAGTGTTATCAACCTTTTTCTTTAATCATATAATAATTTAATACAGATTGATTCATTTAATGTTTCATTATCTACTCTAGGCTAGAATTTACTAGAATTTAAATAAATGTTTAAATATTTAAGCAGCTAAATTAGATTCTTATTGGCCGGAAATTTTTGAGTAATAATTATTTATCTTAATTGATTTGTTAGTTATGGGCTAAAATACTTCTATGAAAAACTGATTTCTTTATCATATTTAAACTTTTTTTTTAACCAAAACCCTAAATTTAAAAACATTCTAAATGAAGGCTTTGAAAATATACAAACGGTTCTGTTTCTTATGTGATTTTTTTTTTTTCCCCAGATGGAATTATTTCAAACTGTAGGTCTTCTCTATCCCCTTGTAAAAGCAAACATATTATGATTTGGAAATCTATATGTAAGGCAGATTAGAAAATGATTTATGTAATTGTAGTTTACTGGTTGAGGGTACAAAGTCCTTGAGCATAAAGCACATACTAGTGCTGTAAAGAACTTAACCACATTTGTTAGGAGTATAATTAAATACTGTTACATACATATTAAAGATAATTATAAAGATAAAGATTTTTAAAAATTAGGGTTCTAATTATAAGGAAGCATTTAAAAATTATTTAAAATGCCTTTTAAAAAAGATAAATATATAAAAACTAAACAGCCAAAAGAACTAACAGAAACATCCCACACATGTAGGGGTTGGCAGAGCCCTGTAAGGGCAGCCTCCTGTGTTCATTTGAAAGTCAGCCTTGTGGAGGTCCTGCTGGAGTTGGAGGGATTGAGCAGGTTCAGCTTGATGGTTGGATAGTCAAAGACACCACTCGGCCTTGGCCTGGCAGTCTGCCCGCAAAGTGTGCCTACAGTGCTTATCTATAGAAGAGGTGTAGCCACACCTAGCAGCAGTCCCAAGCTTGCAAAGCCAGGCTTACAACTTCAGTACTTAAGACTGTATAAATGTTGGTGTACAAATCTAAGAGTGACTTTATGTGGACATATACTTTCTGAGCTTCCCTTCCCACTTTCTTCCTTTCCCCTTTCCCCCGTCATTTTTTAATTCTCTCTTAACCTCCTCTTTTTCCCTTTTCTTCCTCTTCTTTCCTCTTGGACTCTTCCTTGCTTTTCTTTTCCCTTCCCTATTTTGTTATCCTTCCCTTTCCTTGTTTCAGAATGGGTGTCAATATCCTGTAAATAACATTTACGACTGCATGCCCATGTCCATGAACTGTGAGCTTCTCCAGTGTGCTGGATGCTGTTAACTATTTAAAAGAAGAGGAAGTATAGTTTTTGCATAATTATTATATTTTATAATTGAATATTTATAATACCATACTATTATATATTTTTGACTATCATACAACTTCGTTTACTTAAACTTTTGAGGCATAAGGGTGCAGTGGTTGAGAGCATTTATATGGTGCCCACCACATAAACTGTCTGATTTCAGATTCTTGCTCCACCATTTCACAGATGTGAGACCTTGGACAGAATGCTTAACCTTTTTCTGGCTTAGTCTCCTAACCTATAATATGGGTTAATTATAGTACCCACCCCAAACAGTTGTTATATACTTTAAAATGAGTTGATATTTGTAAAGTGGTTTAAATGGTGCCTGATGTTAGTAAGCATTATATAAATGCTTGATAAACATCTTCACAGGGTTATTGTCAGGGCTAACTGATTAAAATGTAATATGCTTAGAACTGTGCTTGATACATGGTATGTACTCAGTAAACTGCTTGTAAAATATATTGGCTGCTTAGGATATTGACTTTAGTAGGATAAAGCAATTGTATTATGGCATTGTGTTTGCTACTTGCAATTTAATTGACTCAAATTTTCTAATAGCCTTGAAGAAGTTTTAGAAGCTTTAACTTCAGCTGGTGAAGAAAAAAAAATTGACAGATTTTTTTGTATTGTGGAAGGCCTCCGGCACAATTCAGTTCAACTGCAAGTAAGTTTTGTGTGTATATAAAATCTATTTTTAAATGACATATATTTCTTTTAATTGTTTTGTGATTGGTTTATATGAAAACGTTGATATGAAGCTCTGCATGCCTTTTGATATTCTTTTATAGCATTATTTATTTATTTATTTTGAGGCGGAGTCTTGCATTGTCTCCTAGGCTGGAGTGGTGGCGCGTTCTCAGCTCACTGCAAGCTCTGCCTCCCAGGTTCATACCATTCTCCTGCCTCAGCCTCCCAAGTAGCTGGGACTACAGGTGCCCGCCACCATGCCCGCCTAATTTTTTTGCATTTTTAGTAGAGACGGGGTTTCACTGTATTAGCCAAGATGGTCTCAATCTCCCCTGACCTCATGATCTGCCCACCTCGGCCTCCCAAAGTGCTGAGATTACAGGCATGAGCCACTGCATCTGGCCTAGCATTATTTTTAACATATAGATTTCCTATTTGTACTATGTCATAATTTATCTTACAGATACATCTTGGCACACAACAATGTAACCATTTCCTAGGTTGCTTTTCCTGTAGTAGAATTATTAGATTACCTTGTATAAGATATAATCATATGAACTGTTTATTCTATGTTAGTCTCATAAATTACTTTAACTTTTGAGATGTTTTGCCAATTAGGTAAATTAGGTCTTTTCATTGTTTTAATGTTAATAACTGAAAAGTTGAGCTTACATGAATAATAAGGAAACCCAAGGTTATAGATGTTTCCAAAAATACTGCTAAAAAGACACATTTAGACTTAAACATTTTAATATTCAAGCTGAATAACTAATATTCATTTAATTTCTCTTTCTTTTCTTAAAAAAGGAAAAGAGGCTTTTATTGGTATAATTGTTCAAGAGTGATTGTCTTAAAAAATATTAATACCTGATTCTCACCTCCATACTTTTAAAACTTAATTGGCATGGTGTGACCTGGACATTGGGAAATTTAAAATGATCCTCAGATGATCCTAATGTGCAGCAAAGTTTCGAAGCCAGTGTGTTAATAGATACGAAGTAAATCTGTTTCACACTTAATAAAAGTAAAAATTATGCATTTTTTTTTTTAAGGTTCTGGGCAGCTTGGCCATTTTATATTTTCTTGATGTGATAGGAATAGAAAAGCAAAATCTGAAATAAAAAAAAATAAAGTTAAAAATTAAAAGTAAACAAATGGTGTTTGAAAAATAATAGGCCGGGTGCGGTGGCTCATGCCTGTAATCCTAGCACTTTGGGAGGCTGAGGCAGGCGGATCACCTGAGGTCAGGAGTTCAAGACCAGCCTATAAAATACAAAAATTAGCCGGGCATGATGGCGGGCACCTGTCCCAGCTACTCAGGAGGCTGAGACGGGAAAATTGCTTGAACCCCGAAGACGGTGGTTGCAGTGAGCCAAGATCATGCCACTGCATTCCAGCCTGGGTGGCTGAGCGAGACTCCGACTCAAGAAAAAACAAAATGAGAATATGATAGGAGCTGTGAAACTAATAATTTAGTATGGACATTTCAGATGACAGTGTTAGCGAATAGCTAGTGAGGAACTCTATGTTGTGATTTGTTTCTCTTGGAATAGGCAGAATTGAAGACCTGAGTAGAGGGTCTCTATGGCATGGGTCCAGTAGGAACCTTTGGAAGAGAACCCCTTTTCATGCATTCTGGGCTTGTTAGATGACATTGGCGTGGAGGTCTGGGATGTGTTCCCCATCACTGACATAGACCTTGCCCATTAAGTTGCTGGAGGGACTAGAGTCTTTTAATTCATATACTACTAGCCTCATTTCCCTTCTCCTCCTCTCTTTTATCTTTGCTTTCTTCCGTCTCTTCTCTCCCATCTTGTCTCTGAGCTCCCCCTTCCCTTCTCTCCTTTTCCTTCCTATTGCTTTTCTTTTTCCTTTCTATTTTTTGTGTCTTTCCTTGTCTGGTTGGTCTGTTGTAATCTGGTGCTTTTAACAAGTTTCTCTGTCATCTGATCCCAGGCTTTTTATTCATATGAAGATTAATGAAGAGTAACCCTAAAGAAGTTTGTAGAGGAAAGTTGAACAATTACTTTATCTGATTTTTTTGCAACTATCTATGAGTCTATAATTATTTGAGAATAAAAGGTTTATAAAAATGTTGGTAAAACTGGGGTCCCATCCTTTTGTTTACAACAGTATTACATTACATGAGGTTTTAAACTGTGAGGGAATAATGGCTTTAACAAGCCATTATTGTCCTGGTAAATGACATGATCTCCTCATTTATTGGAAAGTTTTGACTATTTCAGTCTAATTCTTGGTTATTTGGAATATTTGTTTTGGCTGTCAGACATAAAGGTAAATCTGTCTGACCTTTATTTTAATTAACTACAAATTAAATTGATGAGTATGAACTTGAAGGCAAACCATGTTGATTTAAAAAATTTAGGGAGTAAATTAAGTAATTTCTTTTATGGGTAGTTGTTCTAATTTTATTGAAGGTGCTCTTCTGTGGAAAAATAACATTTCTATAGTCATGATAAATTTATGTTTAGCTAGTAAATATCTAGAAAGAGAACTATCGGTTAAAAGTTTGGAATTTTATAGGTTACTATTCTATAGAAAATGATAAGACTTAAATAAATATTGAGAATTCTGTTTATATAAAGTTTTGATACAGGTTTAATTTCTTTTATTAACAACTCTAGTCAGACTAAATTAGCGTATCATAACATTTACCCATTTAAAATGTGTGATTCAGGTCAGGTGCGGTGGCTCATGCCTGTAATCCCAGCATTTTCGGAGCCCAAGGTGGGCGGATCATGAGGTCAGGAGATTGAGACCATCCTGGCTAACATGGTGAAACCCCATCTCTACTAAAAGTACAAAAAAATTAGCCACGTGTGGTGGCAGGCGCCTGTAGTCCCACCTACTCGGGAGGCTGAGGCAGGAGAATGGTGTGAACCTGGGAGGTGGAGTTTGCAGTGAGCTGAGATTGCACCACTGCACTCTAGCCTAGGCAACAGAGCGAGACTGTCTGTCTCAAAAAAAACCAAAAAACAAAAAGTGTGATTCAGTTTTTTTTGTATATTAACAGATTTGTGGAATCTTTACCATAATCAATTTTAGAAGATTTTCATTGCCACACCAAAACAAAGTCCTCATCCCTTAACTATAACTCCACAATCCTTTATTCTCTGTAGCCTGAGACAACTATTGATCTACTTTCTGTCTTTATAGAGTTGCATATTCCAGACATTTCACGTAAATGTAATCATGCATTATGTGGATCTTTGTGATTGGCTTCTTTTATTTATTAATAGCAAAATATTTTTGAGGTTCATTCATGTTGGAGTAGTGCATTTTAAAAAATTGCCACATATTCTTCATATGGGTGTAACACATTTTATCAGCTGTCAGTTGACAGACATTCGGGTTGTTTCTGCTCTTTGGCTGTTATGAAAAATGTTGCTGTGAACGTTTGTAGAGCTGATTTCTTTTTAAGCTGCTGCTTATTTGCCATATTTAGTGTTGAGTGAATACAGCCAGGGAGGAAGAGAGCTTAGAGCCATGTTTTCCTTCCACAATTATGGAAGTCACGGGTATAATATAGTTTCTTTCTAATTTTTAACTTTTATGGGACATAGTAGGTGATGATTCAATTTTTAAAAAATTTTTGCCTATATATGTAGCTGATTATATTTACTTTTAAGAAACTAATTGACTTAGTTGTAATTATATTTTCTGTTACAGTTAGTAGTAGTGTTAATTATTTGATATCCTATAAACAGTAAAATAAATTTCTTGGTGTAGTTCTCAGAGCTTAATTTTTAAGAAGTGAAAGGTTATTTTAGCATCATTCAAATTTATTTCTTTCTCATTTTTCTGATATGCTCAGGTTAAATTTCCATGCTCTTAATTGGGAATAGAAAATGGAAAGAATTGTTCTACATTCTTATTTTTTCTATTCAAATATTTTGTTGAAGGTTTTTACTCCTTGGTAAAGGTTTCTCATTGTTTTTAAGCCTGATGTGTGAAATAGGTAGCAGGTAACAGGCTTCAGAGTAAAAGGTACCATTTTCTAGAGTTCTAACTTAGGCCAAACAAACGAACAAAAAAAGTAACATAGATTCTGTTTTCTGCATCTTGCAGATTATGCTCTTTCTATATTCTTTAAAATTATCAAAAAACATTGTAGTAATATCTAAAAATACTTGTTTCTCTCTGTCTTTCTGAATTTTCGACAAATAAAGTATATTTTCAAGGTGTCTGGCTATCAATTTTCCCATAAAACTATTTGTACCCATTTTATTCCATTTTAATAAATTGCATTACTAAAATGTGCTAAACTAGATGACATTAGCAAATCACCAATTAAAAATAAAACTTTTTTATTGGTGAATAAAATAGGAACCAATGATTTGCTCTTAAATTGGAGAAAATGAGATAGCAAAATAAAAACATTCTTCATTGTTCTTTTACTGCAAAGTATACTTACGACAGTCTTTTTTTAAAGGAGAATAAGGAGAATTGTTACTTTTTTTGTTAGTCTAATCCTAATAATGATAATTTGTGATTATGATAGAATTGAGCAGACTTCCCCCATTTGATATTATATAGTAAGAAAATGATAAACTTTGTACCTAGAATAACTTTATTCTCATTATTATTATAATTCTCATTATTATTATCAGAATATTATTATCAGGGGCTGCGTGTGGTGGCTCACGCCTATAATCTCAGCACTTTGGGAGTCCGAGGTGGGCAAATCATGAGGTCAGGAGATCGAGACCATCCTGGCTAACGTGGTGAAACCCTGTCTCTACTAAAAATACAAAAAGAAAAAAAAAAAAAAATTAGCTGTGCGTGGTCGTGGGCACCTGTAGTCCCAGCTACTCAGGAGGCAGGAGAATGGCGTGAACCTGGGAGGCGGAGCTTGCAGTGAGCCAAAATTGCGCCACTGCACTCTAGCCTGCGTGACAGAGCAAAACTCTGTCTCAAAAACAAACAAGCAGAATATAATGGCTGCAAGCAGCATAA